TCATGTAGTTCACAAATATCTTGAAAATTGTTGAACATGATTTTGATTTTGATTTTTGCGATACGAGTCTCGGAAGTTTTTGTTGGCTGTTCGTATGTTCTTTCTGCTCGCTCCTTCCTGGTTCTGTGCACGTTACACGTGTTAAAATATGTGCTAATTGAGGGTCGAGGTTGTTTATTCATTTAGAAACACGAACTATAAATGTTATGTGGAAATATAACGCAATTGCTGCAAATAATCTCCTGGTATTGATTTATCAGGAGCATTAAACAAGCTGTCGTTGGCGATTTTAAATTCCACGGTGCAGTCTGGTGATCAGATGAAGTAGGATGGGATGGACTGAGCATGTAGCACGGATGGGAGCTATGAGAAATGCGCGTACAATTTTAATCGGAGACCCTAAGGGAGGAAATCAATGATTGAATCTTGAAAAAAAGTTGGTGTAAATATATAAGCTGGATTTCAGAACAGGGAACACTGGCGGGCTGTTGTGAACACGGTAATGAACATTCGGGGTTTCATACAAGGCGTAGAATTTCCTGGCCATGAAAGATTCTGCTTTATTTTAATTATATTAGTAATATATTAAAGTAATTATGTTTTTTTGTAGATTTCGCGTCTGACCTTACCTTCAGCAGAGATTTGTTTCGTTTAAATGCGTTCTCACGCATTTTTACAAAATTGTTTGCAACTCCTGCGCTGAAGGCGGAAATCCGTGTTGAAATGCCTTCTGCGTCTTTATCAGTCATTTCTCTCTCAGCTTCTCTGTCAGAAAACAACGACGCCTTGTAGTTTAATCAAGAGACTCACATTGTTCGTAAAAAGTTAGTGAAGGAGACCTTAAATATTAGAGTTGGGCATTGTCGTTATATCTGTCGCGTCTTTTTTTTTTTAAAAAAAAAGATGTAGTTAATGGCCCGAAATTATTTGTCTTCTTACTAACAAAACAAACGAGCGAATTGCGATCTAATGTTTTGTGCAACTTTCCATTGTTGTCACAAGAGTAGCATTAACATTCATTTTAAATATTTATTTTATTTAGTGTTCTGTCTGACGACAGGTCCATATGAACAAGATCCTTCCATCCTTTTCTCGGACTGGGACCTGTTCATATACGTTTTTGGCAGATGATCCAGAAGTGGTTTGCCATTGCCTTCTTCTGTGTGTGAATGGAGTAATTGTTGGGATGCCACGGAGAAACCGGGGAAGCCC